TTGATACTGAATTTCTTCGCTTCGTGAGCTGTTTCATCAAATATAAATATGATTTATAAATTTGTTTCGTTAACAAATATTTATATAATCATTAAGCAATTTACTCACATGTAGAAGCTAACTAGAAGAAAAGAGAAGTAATGCTACAGTGTCTCACGTTACATCCTGTTTTAACCGACGAGAAATCTCCAAATTACAATTATGAATCGTACATATATTTTTGCAAAATTTTTCCAAGGTATATTCTTTTATCAACAATCCCTAATTATATTAGATAGCTAAAATGGGCTAATGCATCCTAGGACGTGGCAATGGCATAGTGGCACTGCAGTGCGAGAGAGCGAAAGTTCGCCCCAGTGCCGCCATCCTGTCTGCAGAATTTCGTCCTCCGTGTCCGGACACCCCACCGACATTCCCTCCCGTTGCACCACTTCCTCGCAAGCTACCCTCCCCATCGCATACACCAAACAAGCGTCGCGTCGCACCCCGGGGCTATTAACGTTCGCCAGCGTGTATTTCGAAAGAACGGGTATGCTCTCAGCATCGTGCATTTAACGCTATTTATTATAAGTTCAAACTGGTTCGATCGAAAAAAAAATAAGGTGGTTCAGTTAAAAAAATAATCAAACGATATATTTATCTGACAACGATTAAAATCTGATGATGATAAATTGCAATAGATCCATTGCTTGTTCCAATATTATTTTTTTCATGACCTTCTGAATGAAAAAAATAAAGGATCTAATAAAATCGAAGAAAGGGTTGCATCGTGACAGAAGATTTTTGTTATTCCATCATACCATAATTAATTATTAAAATTCAAAGACAGATATGCAAGCTTTTAATCATCGAAAGGTCCTTGAAAAAAAAAAAAAAATGTTGACGAACAAGAGAGGAAGCTCGGCTCAAAGGGTTAATGGGTCTTCCAGGTTGGCAACCGCCCTGTCTGCGAGCTCGCGTCTTTTTGCTCATGCCAGTCGGGCAACGAGGGAGTTACGGCTACGGAAGAGCGAGAGGAAAGTTTGCCCCAGTACGTTGCACCCTCCTTCTCTCTTGACGCCCCTCTTCGCGAGACCTCTCAGTCCCCGGGAGCCTTGCCATCCCCTTGGTCCTCCAGATCCCCGGGTCCCCTTCCGCTACATATATGTCGTCCCTCCGAGGCGTCAGCCTCCCTTCCTCCCGGCGCGGCGTCCCGGTATTCCCGTTTTGCCGCCCCCGAGAGAGTCCGCGCGCTGCATCGCCGCCGAATCAATACCGGCAGACATCCTAACTCACTGGAGGTCAATGCCTCGTTCCCGCGAGCGCCGACGACCTCAACCTCCTACCTTCCCTACCCTACAACCTCCTTCCAGAAGCCAGACGAGGGCTCTCGGCCGTGTGGGGAGGCAGGCGACTCTTCCATCTCTGACGCTGCAGCTCTCTGTCATCGCGGTAGTGCGAACAAGACGACGCGACGCGACGCGACGCGACGAGACCGTGGCCGACCAATATCGAATGCATCGTCGAATCTTTTGTCGACGCTCCCAAACCAAGTCCGGTCGCGGACTTTTGAAAGTCAAATGAGGGGAGGAAGAGTGCTCATTATGCGATGTTACAAATATATTGACTACATTTTTTCTTTTATTATTTAATCTCTCGAAAATGCATCCCTAATAGCACAACATGTTCGAAAGATATCCAGAGGATGTTTTTTGAAATATGTGTGCTGTTAGGGATATGATTCCTATTTTAATAATCGAGCGCTAATTAAGCGCCATTTCTTTACGCGGAAGACAAGGAGACGAGAAGGTACGATGACGTTGATAGAAGTACTGCGCCAAATGGAAATTACTCTCTAGAATGCAGCAAGGCGCGCGGGATCACGATGAAGACAATGATATTCAAAAGCTCCCTTTCACATTTGTCTTTGTACGTACTCGACGAACCCCACCCTTTATTTCTCTGGCTGGGAGTCGTGTAGCTGCAGCCAAAAGATGCGAAGATACGGTGTAGACATGCCATTGCAATTGCGCAAGCGTTCTGTTTGATCATTCCTATCACGCATCTTTCCAAAGGCACTTCACTTTTTAACAGTTGAACGAGCAATTACGTATCACGAAAGCAAATGCCTTTGCTTTTGAATATTTTTTTGTTGTTCGTATGATTCATATCGGCTTTTTATTTTTTTTAGAAAATTTGTAAATAATTAATAATACGATTTAAATGAATTAATTCCGTTCGATAGAAAGCATCCAACGTGGTGACGTGATGTTTGATCTGTAGACCTCGGAGGAAAACACTGTGTCATGCACGTAAAATTAGACGGTGCATTCAAATGTCTTTGCTTTTAGATATTTTTTTTGTTATTCGACTTATAGCGGTCATTTATTTTTTAGAAAATTCGTAAATAATTAAACGATTTAGATGAATTAATTCTGTTCGATAGAAAGCATCAAATGTTTGCTCTATAGACCTAGAGGAAAATACTGTGTCGCGCATGGATGCACGTAAAATTAGACGGTGCATTCAAATGTCTTTGCTTTTAGATATTTTTTTGTTATTCGACTTATATCGGTCATTTATTTTTTAGAAAATTCGTAAATAATTAATAGTACGATTTAGATGAATTAATTCTGTTCGATAGAAAGCATCAAATGTTTGCTCTATAGACCTAGAGGAAAATACTGTGTCGCGCATGGATGCACGTAAAATTAAACGGTGCATTCAAATATCTTTGCTTTTTTTTGTTATTCGTATGACTTATATTGGTCATTTATTTTTTAGAAAATTCGTAAATAATTAATAGTATGATTTAGATGAATTAATTCTGTTCGATAGAAAGCATCAAATGTTTGCTCTATAGACCTAGAGGAAAATACTGTGTCGCGCATGGATGCACGTAAAATTAGACGGTGCATTCAAATGTCTTTGCTTTTAGATATTTTTTTGTTATTCGACTTATATCGGTCATTTATTTTTTAGAAAATCGTAAATAATTAATAGTACGATTTAGATGAATTAATTCTGTTCGATAGAAAGTATCAAATGTTTGCTCTATAACCTAGAGAAAAACTGTGTTGTATACGGATGCACGTAAAATTAGACGGTGCATTCAAATGTCTTTGCTTTTAGATATTTTTTTGTTATTCGACTTATAGCGGTCATTTATTTTTTAGAAAATTCGTAAATAATTAATACGATTTAGATGAATTAATTTCGTTCGATAGAAAGCATCTAACGCGGTGACACGACGTTTGCTCTAGACCTAGAGGAAAACACTGTGTCGCGCACGGATGCACGTAAAATTAGACGGTGCATTCAACTCTCCTGTACTTGTGCCAAGAAACGCTCGTACCACGACAGTTCTTCTTGCAATAGTGGATGCTGCGACACTACGCTGCGACAGCCGCGATGGCACCAATGCCCTTATTTCAAAATGATATCGGCTCCCGCAAACGACGAATGTTTTTCCGCATTGGCGCCGTATAATCCATAACTCTTAATAACGCGGGAAGGAAAAGAGCGGCGATAAATGATTGTTGGAACAGCACAATCCAAACTTTGGATTCTCGTTTTCTTAAGTTTTATAGTGCAGACGTTCTGTGTCTATTCTATTCTTGTAAATCTTTTACATTTCAAATTATCTTAATCTTAAATCTTCAAAAAAATGTGTTTATTTGACTGAAGCTTTCAACTAAATATTATTTTATAAATTTAATTTTTATAAAAATTTATAAAAATTATAAATATATGTAAATATTTTTTTAATTAAACATAAAAACATTTAAATTAAATATAATATATTAAATCTGATAAAACGTATATTTGACTTAAATAATTTATATATGTTCAATTAACAAAATAGTAATTTAGTTGAAAAGCTTAGTCAAATTAACAAATTTTTTTTCAGTGTTGAAAGACTATTCAGACTTAAACTTGAATTTTATATATCTCTATATAATTTTACACCAAAAATTTGTTTGGTGTTAAAAATAAAAGTAGTAATAAATTCGTCATTTTTTAAAAGTATACGATCCATAAATTCTGTGAAAGGATTAATCTTTCGAATTCTCACTTCCATAAATTTCGAATATGTTGACCTTTGGATTTTTTTTCGATCATCGATTTTATCGACTCATTTGTCCTTATGAAGACCGATTAGGCGCGAAGAAAGGGAGACTGTCTAACAATAAGAAGGCTAACGCACTACGCACAAAGGGTGTCGCCCTCGTGAACAAAGGCAGCGTGCGTAAAGTTAAACCGCAGTATCTAGCCAGTCAGGTCGTACACCCTTGGAAGAATCTCGCTGTTTGCGTCTCCGCTGTAGATACATTGCACTCGGACAGAGTAGAATGCGCGACCACAAAAATGTTTGAACGATAAGACGACCGGACTCCTCGACTATATAACGTTCTATGTAATTGCACAATTGAACATGAAACGCATTGTTCTCATGATCTTTAAGTATTCATGCATCAGAAACGAAAGCAAGGACAATCTTTTAGATTGTAATGAATTAGTCTTAATAAAATATTAATTTAATACAAAGTAAATGAATACACAGAGAATTTTCTCGTAGAATTTACCCTGAAAATTATGGTAAAAAAATTTTATAAGTTTTTCTGATTAATATTTACCACAATAAAAAATATTAATATCTATCACAATAAGAAATAAAATATATTCGATTAATTTTACTATGTACATATTAATATTTTTCATCATGGTAAATATTAATCAGAGAAACTTATTAAATTCTTCCAATACCATATTGTCATGATTTTTGGAGTAAATTTTAAGAGAAAATTTTCTTCGCGTGTATATAGGATTGTATTATTATGGGCTCGTTAAATGCTGTTTTATAAATATTAGTTTATTTGTTTATCAATTGTTCAATTTAAAAAAGCAATTTAAAAATAGAATTATTTTCTAATAGAAAAAAGTATTGATGAAAATTACTATTTTTAATGTACCAGCAATATAAAAAAGATTATTAATAAAAATTATTTTTTATGTTTCAGCAATTATGGAATACACTTTGAATGTTCGAAAAACTGAGAGACATCTTGCTCGTTGAAAGGAAACATAATAGATAGAATAGCTAGATGAAAACACATCAACGACGCAAGATGCATCGTTCTCCAGGGTGACGTTCCAGAAATAGCTCAAGACATTGCGGTGCAATCGCGGCTGCTTTCGTTCATCAGTTCAAGGTTAAAAGCCCGTCGCCATCGCGTGGTAGCTGCAACTTCCATGGGACCAAAATACATCCCCTCACTGATATATAAATACAACGTCCGAAAAAAAAGATCGAAGAAAAGGATGCTGACGATGTATGCCGATAACCTTCCCTAAGACATTGACGTCGCGATATATAGGAAACAGAGTCGCGAAACTCGTAGAATTTTCCACACTACATCTCCTTACATATCATCACGGATCAGATTTTCCTTGTAGCGTCCGTACAACGCATTTAAACGTGCATTTAAATGCGCATTCGCGAACGATAAGAGTCAAGAATCACGTATCATCTAAGGTGCGCAGCACAGAGAGAAGATCTATGAGACCTGATATACGTGTCCAGGTCTAATCTGACTTTGATTCGTTGAAATCTGAGACTACTAACATTTCTCCGAGGTATGTAATCTGCAAACTTTAAGAGCTAATTTTCAACTGTGTAAGTGCGTCTTATAATATATATAAAATCTTTTTCTGTGCAACTTTCATTGTGCAGCAAGTATCGACGCGAGCTCAATCGTCACGCATGGACGTGTTGCGTGCTTGTAAAAACGAATTAAACATTCCATGATCGACGGACGCGATGAGGTTATCCGCAATAGATGCATTGACCTTTACAATGGATACACCCCGGCGTGTCGATGACACTGTGTTCTATAAAGATACCCTGAGGAGGTAGGGCCTTTCAGTCTTTGTCTCGCACTCGTCCGGCAGTCGTTGAACTCAGGCGTTGGGGACAACACACTTTGAACTATGCACGAACGTAAATTAACTGCAATAACGAGTCCTTCGAAAGGATACGCGTTCACCGATGCAGTGTGCATGCAGGATTCTTCCCTCAGCATGATGAAAGTCGGCAAGAAATTAAATTACTCCGCGATACGTTAATCTGTTTCATATTTATCTCTCGTATATCGCACGTTGACACTTTCAATGTTTTTCGTGATGTACTACTTTCCCCTGCAATGTTTACTGTATAGATGTCATTGTTCTTCGTTCATCCACTTCCTACGAAGGTCACACGAGCCGCGAGTTAGCTCCTTTTGTGATAACGCGAGAATAAAACGTTATATCTTGTGTTTACTCGCGGCGATTAAAAAAAAAAAGAACCTTCAACAGGCAATTGAGAGAATTTTTATACATTTTATCGAGTGCTACTCTTTATGAGTCAGATAAGTACAATTATAGATTAAGACATAAAATTAGTAACAAAATAGACTAAATATTCGAAATGATAAGAGGAGACGCGGTAATAGATAGAAGCTAGAGAAAATCTACCTAGGATTCGCGACGCAATGAAATTCACAGCGACATATACGTATTTTGTTCTAGGTATCGGCGCGAAGGTACGATGCACCTACGTGCAGCCGGGTCAAGGTCGTACTCCTCGTGCGCCGGGCCGGCTGAGTCATTCGTGCAGAATCGTGCATGCACAGAGTGCTAGGCGTATGCGAGTGCATCGAACCCGAGATGACCGTTGCAGCTGCAAGCGCGATGCTGGTAGCCTGCCTCGGTCGTTCCCGGTGCACGTCGGCCACCTTCGGTTGCATTCCGCGTGCATCAACCCGAGAGATCAGCATCGAGAAGCGCCGTCGAGTGCAATGCCCATAATACCGTGTTCGCGCGAAACAGCTGCGCGAGACGGAGAGAAAGCTCATCCCTCTCCTGGGAGAGGATGCGAGGACTCTCAGAGGAGGCTCGTCGTCGAAAAGAAGATGCGACCAGGGAGAGAAACCGCGGAGGAAGAAATGCAGGATTGCGCATCCGATTGGAAAGCTGAAGGGATGCGCTTGATGGGGACAGAATTACTTGCAACTGATGTACTTCTCCATCGGAGATGCAGCGAGGAAAATTTCTACTTGCAACGTCTATGCGCGGATTAGTCTTTGGACGTGTTTCTCTTAGATTTCAGATGTCAGAATTTCAAGTCTAATTTTATAGATCTTTAATTCAACTTCGATATTACTCAAATTCAACGTAAGAATAAAGATTCAATGATGAGCATTAAATGTAATTAAATTTCTTATATAATGACGTTTCTACGAGCTTACGGATAATCTTAATCGCGAGCAACCGTGAGCGTCAGGTATTGTTACGTTAAGACTAAAGTTCGTGACTGCGGTGACCTTACCTAGAGACCTCGGACACCAAGTTCAACAATTTTGCTTATGTTTGAGAGACGCTGCGAAGGGCCGATGCACCAGCCAGGGTGAATGTTCTCCACGCGCTAGCTCGCTCGTCGACTTTGTAGAGCGTGGCAACGCTCGCGCATACACGCATCCAGGCGCGTTGTGCGTACGTGCTTGCCAGCTTCCAGGGATGGGCTAATGCTCCTCTGATCGAGACATATCTGTTACCAGTTTCCTACATCCAACAGTTCATCCGAACTGGTTTTCTTTTCACTTTATATACATTTCGCGAGCGATTCTTTTACTCTATATTCTCTGGCTCAAGGTCGTAAAATACGAGAGTTTAGAAAAGATAATTATTATTTAATGAAATCGATTCTCTGTGATTCGGAGTTTCTTCATTGGAATTTATACATATATAAAACGAGAAAGGATAGAATTATGTGTAATATCATTAATGTATTGAAATTTCTAAGAGCTTTTATGCCTATTTACCTGAATTTCTTATTTCTTATTTTGTGTTATTGCTTTAAAAATGATAATTGTCTATATAACTGATAAGAAGCGAACTTTCCTTTACATATCATCTGCATGTACTAGTTATATAAATAATTTATACAGAATTTACGTCAAGCTATTGATCAAAAGTACTAATAGTAAAAATTTTTGATGTTCACAGGATCACACACACACACATGGAGGAAATTGGTCAGAGGATTATATAGAGAAATTTAGGAGTGACATTTAACCGAACAATTTACCCGGCCCTGAAAGCATTACGGCGAGTGAAACGTCCGAGAGTGGACGTTGCATATGTGCAAAACGGGCGCAGCGCGGGACGAGGAAAGAGAAAAAGTCCATCATGGGAAGAGGAGCAAGAGGGAGAGGAGAAGGAGGGCGACGTCGGGGGCGGAGGGAGAGTGCATGGGACACCGTGTGCAGCACTCGTGCTGCACGCGTTTCGCATGGCCACGGGGTTCACTGTCCCGAGCCAAGGCCGCAGGGGCACCGCCCCACTGAACCAATTGTGCCACTTTTATGCTCGTCGACTCATTTTCGAGTTTTATTACTTGCAATACGTGTGCGCCCTCCTCCTCCTCCTCTTTCGAGCACGTGCATTAACCGCGTACGTAGGTGGCCGACTGCTACTTTTCCTGGTGCGAATGTTGAGCGTGTTACGTGCTTTCCAGAAAAAAAACGCGATACCGCCGATACGTAAGAAAAAAGAGCAGATGAAAGGCCAATGCCGTAAGAGATAAAGTCGGCATTGAAATATACCGTATCAGTTAATGTTAATTATAATAAATCCACTGATGCATTTAATTAATGCATCTAATTAATGGTATCGCGGAAACGGTTTTTTGTATTATTAATTTTTCTATTACTCCTCTTTTTTTCATGTAATTCCTCAACATTCTCTTATTTTACATTTTCGCCTAAATTATTCTGTTGGACACATATCTTTTATTTATTTCGCAATGTATTAATTATATTTGAAAGTTTTTTTTTTAATTGGATAGTGTCTGTTAAATAAACGCGATGCATATAAATGATAGAATTTCATTTTATAAATATTTTTCAGATTGAAACCATACATGGAAGTACGCATACCTTCGATGGAACATCGTCAACGATCGAAAATGTGTCATGGATCTTCCAGTCGTAACGCCTGGCGCACACGGATTTGCGAACCCCGGGAAATGCGTTTGAGTTTGCGAACCCCCCCAGACTGGAGGGGATTGACCCAGACACCCCCTCCAGCAGACGATTCTCCCTCTACCGGGTAGCTGTGGCTGCTTCTAGAACCCTACGCTATAGTCGATGGAACGAGGGTGCAAAACCCCGTCTGCTTGATAAACCGTTGCACCGCCCAAGCACGATAAACGCGATATCGTTTATCCATTCGTGAAAAAAAATTCAACCCGTACTGTACACTCGTGTATTGCCCCTCGTATGAAGCCGTAATTTCTTTCATATTTTATGAGAGCAAAATTAAATTGCAAATCATCAAAATGAAATTAGATCTCGCATCGTTATTGTTTTTTCGAATGAAATTAATACGCAGTTATTTTATTATCTTGTTAGAATGTTAGAATTGTATATATTTCAGTCCTAAGATTCGTATTTAATTAATTTGATTCTATTTAATTTTTATTTAACTAATATATTTCGGCTTAATAATATGTAATTGCGCGCATGGGCTTGTAGTATTTTATATTTTGATTTTATCATAATCGAGAAGCTGTTTTTCCTTGTTAATCGATATATGTATATACGCACTTGCGAACAATAAAATGATTAAGAATGACTCACGAATGACGTAGAAGATCCATATTGATGTCCCGGTAGTTCCAGATGATTGTCAGAAGCCATCATCAGGAGAAACACTCGTAGAAACATTCTGCACAAAAAGAGAAATTTAATTAGAAGGATATTCTTAAATCTTCGTTACACTGTTTTTATTTTATAAAAAACAACAATATTTTCCTACTAACTCAATAAATTGTGAGCGTATTAAAATGTTTGCGTGTTAGATATATGTACGTAGATATATGATGTCACGCGACTGCGAGATTAACAATCGGAGTATAATGCCATCGTGATGGTTTACAGCATAACATCTTAAAATTGCCTTTGCACTTTCTCCATTAATTAAAATTAATAGATGTTGTTAGAGAGAGAGCGCGCAAGGTGATCGCCCGCGTTGGCATGAAAGCGATCAGTTTTGCATCAGGTGTTTCCCTTTCGTTCTTATTGAGATTTCTGAATGTTAACGAAGCGAAGATATATTTATTATATATGATACGTAAAAGGCAATCGACGAACATTGAAAATCGACTGAAAAGACACAGCGCCTGTCATTCAAGGCTGGAAATAAATTTTTTTGTGTCCTAACAAGGAAAGCGTCGTATGGAATTGCATTAGTTTGCAAATTAAGGTAAACGAAATTAACGAGACAGGGAATATACGCGAAGCGGTTCATTATTATGAGAGAGACCCCGCGCGTATAAACAATCGGTGCATTTCAGTGTCATGGTTCGTATAACGTTCAGCAAAGCAGGGGTTGTGAACCCCAGGAAAGTAGCCAGACAGACAGACTAACGTGAAAGGGGGTGACCCAGACACCCCCTCCACCGGGCTGTTTGCAAGCGACTCGACTACCGCATTGGTCTGTGCAAGTGGTGGTAAAGTATCACGATGGCAGGGCGGTGTTATAAAAAAATGATGCGACGACATCGAAGGGGTGACGCCGACTCTTGCGTTTCACCATGGCGCCGATAGTAACGATCGTTTAATAATTTTTGTAATCAATTGTTACAATTTCTACGCTCTATTTGGAAATTAATTATAATTACTTGCAAAAACTCACGATTCAAAAAATCCAAAAAAATACCTTTTATTTCTAATTATTATTTTAATATATATTAATTGGAGCTGGTACTTTTTTTTTGCAAGAAATAATTTTGCATCGATAAAGAATTAGGAACAAGTTTCAGAGACTAGATATTTTTATCGTGATACTTAAATACAGTTGCTTATTTTAAACGATAAGCAGTCGCACTTTATAAGTCTTTCTTCTTAAATATCGGGAACAAGTATTGTACAAAAACAACCTCTTGTCGCAATAACTATTAAGAATCTCGGTAGATTCGCGAAGATGGCACGCCCTGGTACTAGTGAGTGAGGACAAATAAAGGACAGTAAGCGAGGAAGACGGGTAGAGAAGGGCAGCGCACAGATCTCTCTCCATTTCTCTCTCTCTTTCTCTCTCGTTTCTCTCCCGATGAGGAGGAGGGTTAGGAAGGAAGGGCAGACGTACCTACATCGAGCTGACGAGGGCGGCGAGAGGACGAGAGGGCTGGCAGCCAGGGTGGAAAGGGAAAAGCGGGAGGGACGGCCGTGGTGTTGCTGACCCGACGACCGCTGTAACCTTGCGTCCCGACACCCCGCATCCAGATCAAACGACCCCGTGCATCGCTCGAAGGTCTTCGAGTCCTAGACCAATAGATATTTCCGTACATCCCTCCTCCCTAAATTAACATTACGTTCGTTAGATCGAATGCTCTAGCATCGTTCTTGTCTTAGTATTTCACTCAACATACGCACATGCATTTTATACATAATTTATATATATATATATATATATAAATGTAAAATTCAAGATTTAACTCAACCTTGCTCGTTGCACGATTTCTTTCATTTCGTTAATTTCTTCCACAAATTAAATACAAATAAAGAATTGAATTACTACTGATTCGAGATATATAAGTACATATTCTGTTTCCATATTGATAAAAAATAGAAAAATACTTTATAATTATAATTATATATATATATAAATTATAAAGTATTTTTCTATTTTTTATCAATATGGAAACAGAATATGTACTTATATATCTCGAATCAGTAGTAAAAAATAGAAAAATACTTTATAATTATATATATAGAAACAGAATATGTACTTATATATCTCGAATCAGTAGTAATTCAATTCTTTATTTCTATTTAATCTGTGAAAGAGAAATTAACGAAATGAAAGAAATCGTGCAACGAGCAAGGTTGAGTAAAATCTTGAATTTTTACATTTTCAAGATGCCTATCCATGAAACTGCTCTTCTCAATATATTAATCATGTTTTATATCTTTAATAATATTCACCTGGCTCTCTAAATTTCGTCTTTTTTCTGGAAAAATGTAGCCGTCCGATGATTCTGCTTCCGAGACTAAATTAGCGCGAACGATATATAAATATGGCGGCGCGTGAAGTGTGACGTAGGGACAAAAAAGGCGCGAAATGCGTTTCGCGGGAGATTCAACGCGCCATCTCGCACGCGATACGAGAACGAGAGCGAGTTTCGATTTATCGATAACTGATCTTGCGATAAGTATATATCGACGCCATCGAATATCGAATATAGATAGACGAGAAAATAAAGAATCAACTAGTTCTACCGCTGGCCGCTAGTTTTGCTAGTTCGCTCTTCTCCGTTTCCTTACTATATTTATTTTCTGTCCACAGGTTGCGGCGGTCTAGGGAATTATTCGTGTCTCCGAGTGGCGGCCAATCGGGCTCGTCCTCTTCCGGAAATAACGAAACGTAACGCACGGCGATTGGATTTCTCTCGTCGTGCGAATCTGTCAGCGCAGGATGCGCAAAGTGAACGACGAGGCTCGGCTTTCGGAGTCGAATCGGAGTTTACCGAAGTAGCCATATTCGCATTCCGTTACTTGGAAATACACTATCAGCATCAGCACGTGGCGTGCAGCTTGTAGGAAATTCGCGACAAGTCGAGCGTTCGGTGCGTCAGAAATCTTCCCGGAAGCGACTGGACAAAGCGCATTAATCTCTCGTCGCGAATCGATCAAAGCCTCGCGAATAATTGAACGACACCGGTAAGTAAATTCATTTCCCGGCGACGTTCTTCCCTCGTGGCTTCTCTTGGCTTGGCTACGCGGCAGCCGCCTTCTGTTATCTTTTTTCTCCCGCTGCTTTTTTGCGGGATGCGACGAAACACGGAAATTATAATTGTATAAATGACGAATGATAATTGCGATCGCGCGGCCAGCTGAGTGGAGAGTGGTATTAATATTAAGATCACAAACTTATGTGTGTCTGTTAGATTTTTTGTCTCTAGTCAGATTCTCTGTGTAGGATAGTGTGTGTGTGTGTGTGTGTGTCGAGAATGTGTGCTCTCTCTCTTATACCTTGCGATATATATACACGATCTATTCATGTGCTTATTCAATTACATCTGTTTCCCGGCTGCTTGTAAATGTTAGATTATTGTATATTGGTTCTATATTGATGATATCGTATTTTTATACTAGTTATTTTTTTATGTTTCTTATCTTATTTTTGCATGTTATTTTGTTTCAAAGTGTTGCATTGTATTATTTATAATTTTTATTGTATAGATATAACTAAATTAATATTTTGTTTTGTACAATTTTTATATAATTTTCAAATGTTGTAAAAATATAAAGTCGTCCATGTGTATATTTGAATAACACAGTATATAGGAAATAGAGTCTAGATGTTCTATATATAGACAATAGATGCTGCATAGTGAGCATCTATGTATAAGTATTTTGCTTTTATGTGTCAATTAAATTAAAAGTATTATTTTATCAATATTAAAAGAAAAATAAATTATAAATATCTAAAAAAGATTCATACACAATGTTACATTTTTAACGTTTTATAATTTTGATTCAATCTTTAGTTAAAGAATAAATATAGTTTATATGAATTTATGCAAAATTATTCATGTAAATTACAAAATTTTTCTTTTTATGTCGATATTGTAAATTAATGATATGTTAATCTAACATTTGTTTTATAAGAAATTCTATTGAAGACAATACTGTTACAGTTCAATATTGATCTTCTATCTTATTTCTTATGTTAAATATTTTTATAAATATTTTCCTTTATTTCGTATAATATTTTTATATTTTAGTTATATATATTTATAATTAAAACAGTATATAATAGCTGTATATAAACTTCTTATATGTTTTTGGTTTCAGAATCATTATCTTGTTAAGAAGATAAACACCCAGCTGTCTTATGCTTTCATTACAATTATCTTTTAAGCTTATATAAACAGCTTTTTTAGAATAAAATACGATATAATCAATATTAAATATTTATAAATATCTTACACACCAATAACACTCATGCAATCTCACACAAATCTATATTTCCATGTGCTTTGCAGTTAATCACACACTTTAAAATCCAATTTTTTCTATACTGTTGCATGTCTCTCTCTCTCTCTCTCTATCTCTGTCTGTTTTCAAATTGCTGAATCTGCATTCTTTACTAATATAACTAAACTTTTACATCAAAATTCTATATTTTCTCACAGCTCTGTCCTCAAAATTTATATTTTCTTGTTACACATTTATTATATTCTATTTTTCTCACACGTATAAATCTCAGATACAATTTTAATGTTATAATTTCAATTAATGTAATTTCAATTATACATACGAGTTTTGGAGCATCTGTCTTCAAATAACTCTTAAAAGTGTAATACGATTTTACTTTTTGTGAAAAACATTTATTTTCGATGTAAATGTTTTTGTGAAATTTATCCACAATATATTACCACTATTTTATACTTTATTATATTAATGCGATTTAATTTTATTATCTCTTTCATTATTATGATTATCTCTTTCTTCATTATGATTATCTCTTTCCTTATTGTAACTATTCTTCTTTTTTCAATCTTATATTCAATTCAAATTAGTGGTATGATGATAAATTCCATCTTTCAAAATGATTTCAAACTTTTCGCCTGTTCTGCCTGCTTGCAAATGCGAAACTAAGATCTTACCTTTGTATATGACCTAATCCATGTTTGTTTACATCGTATTATTTTCATTTAAATTGTACAGAGATTTGTGTTTGCGTGATTTTATTTAGTTTATATTTAACACATAATGCGAGATCACGGGCTGAGTTATTCTCTTTCACTTATTTGCAATTTATTGACAAATGTAAATAATCAAAAATAAAATTTGTGAACATTTTTATTTTGCACTTTACTGTATACTTTTCATTTGTACAATGTCAAAACTTTGTTTAATTTACCGTACGGAGATTTAGTGTATGGATACTGATTATATAATCGAGGTAGATCATGCAACAGCTGAGCTAATTATACATTCAACAGCTTCTTTTTAAGAAAAAAAAAGAAGATTTATAGATTTTGGATAAGAATTAATTCTTTGTGATTAACTGTTTTGTTCAAATAGTTCTTTGTCCAACTTTATAGAACTAATTTATTTTAAACTATATGTGTGTTTGTTTGTTTTTTTTTGTAAGGAACAAATTCGTACATTTTCCTTATCATAATTCATATAATTATAGTAAGATCGTGAGCATTTTAATATATATAGTCTTTTAGAGATACAGAATTCGAGATCAGAACATAAGACAGATTTATTTGGTTTACCGCAATTTCCGTCTTTCTTTCTCTTCTTATGCTTTTGTATCAAACTTTATTCGCATCAGTTACTTCATTAGTCGCGCAGCCGCAGGTTCAACATTCCGAAAGCACGTTGAACCAGTATGCGCGATTTGACCTGTAACGCATAGCACGCTTTTTGTGAGGTATTATTGTCGAATTTTTTCTTTCAAAATTGAGATACATCATTTATTAAAGGAGTGTCAAATAAATAAAAACGGCGAAAATGTCGATAATACGATAATAATAATAATAATTATAATAATAATGAAAACAAATACATGCATGCACAATTTACAATTACTATAAATTAAATATATTTTTAAAGTAAATATATTTTTCGAATAAATAGAATTTTAAAAAATGTCGCAATTAATTATTTTCTATTTAGAGATTTTTAATTCTATTTAAACATATAATGCAATTTCTATGAGCAATAGAATGGTAATTCAAAAAATTAGTGTTTTGTTAATCAATTTAATTTATTCTTTTTTCTCTAATTTCTTTTTTCTCTGCTTTTAAGTATGACATCGTTATTTAATTTGACCAATCTTCTTTCTCAATCCCTAAAATAAGATTGCATTATAAATATGAATAATAATTATTCTTTAAACATGTCGCTTTTATACGATATACTTTTTTGCTGTCTCTCTAGTTTCAAAAATTGTTAATTTAATCTCAAGTATGTAAAACTGTAGTTTAAATTTCAAACTTAATTTTTATCGATCATTTTAATCGCAGTTTTTTATATTTTGCAATTAAATTACAGTAATACATTGACAATTAGATTGATTTATATATTATATATTTTATATATAAGATTTACAACATACATATATACTTATGCCATCACTCGAAACTTTTTGCTAAATAATGATTTTTGGTGTATTATTACAGCAAATTCGATTATTCAGTTCTACATATCTATTTTTATCGTGATAATATTAAACGCAATACATTTCCTAATTTATATTTGTATAGCTTCTTATTTATACAATAAATTCAATTTATTTTAATTATTAATTTAATTAATTGTAATGTAAATGTATATGTATTGTGTGCACTGAAATTTTGCCAAATATTTAGAAATTATACTACTTTAACCCATATTTTTTGATAAGCATGTGATAGCTATTTGATTGATAATCTAGAAATTGGATCAGTTATAATTGATCAACTATTTTGCTATTGCGATTAACTAATAACGGTAAAGTTATCAATAAAATAGATTCAATATACTTGAAATGGATTGATATTTTAAAGAGGCCATTTCATTCCAGACGCGTGTGTTTAAAGAGAAAAGAAAAAATTACATTTTTTATTTTTTATTGGAATTAATATATATATATATATATATATATATTATATTTTTATATAACATATTATTCTTTATTAGAAATTTTATTGAAAATTGTGTTACTTTTGTATCGCCCTATATTATCGAAGATCTTGATTACGACGTGAATGCCGTCTTACGTGACCACACCTGTATAACCGGTGAATGGATCCAGTCGAACTGGTCCTCAGCCTTAACCACGTGTTGAAAATCCGCGAGCTGTAGTACAACTCTATAGACATCAGTTCACGTAATCAATTTTTCGATTAATTTCGACGTGTGTCACTTCGAGTTCACTTTCGGATGTTACGTGATAATTTCATTTAAATAAATTTCAGCGATTATGACAGAATATTTTGAAAATATGCTAGAGACAACTCGATTATGACCAGCTAGAGGCATTGAATCGATTGATATTAAATGCTGATGTAAGTTAAATAGCTCGCGATGAGAGAGAATTTATTGCTTTGATAAGAATTTTTAATACTTTTGTCTAAGTTTTTGAATTTAATTTACTAGATTTTAAATTTCAATATAAACATTCATGCAATCATAGTGATGACATAAGATGCCTTGCTTCATTACTCTTTGATTTTAATATAATTTGAAACTTCAGAAATGATTTCGCTGTCGAATATTTTATTTTACGAGATATTTAATCATTGTTTTACGTTGTTTATATTCTCAAGTGATACTCAATGGCTATATTTAATTTTAAATTTATGGTATATAATTTTTAAATATGTATGCATATGATAAAGGAGAAAGTATTTTAACATATTGTTGGAATAATCAAAATTTTATAGATACACACCTCAGATTTTTTCAATATTCTTATAAGTTTAAAGAGACAGCTGAGAATAATTTTTATTCACATTTAACACAACACTTTCTCGTTTTCAACCGAGTTCATTTCGTACATCAGTATTTTAAATATGCATATATGCATAAATAAATATGTTAACATTCTTAATATATATCTTGATTTACGTATATATTATATATATATTTTTTAATACAAGTTAATGTTCTTAATTTATCGTTATCCAGTTGTTAAAAAATTATATGAAACATTTTGAAGAGCTTATATCATTTTCTTGAGCAAATTTTGAATTTTAAGTTGTTTTATAATTTTCAATGTAAATGTTTAAATATTTGTATCCTTATATCTGAATAGAAAAATTGATTGCTATGCGTGAACAAAAGTCCATGGAATTTTACATCGGCACGTCATCTCATTTTACATACGTTGTTTCCGTGTGTTGATTGCTGATCAGCAAGTGCTTCACTGTGCATCGAACCGGATTAATTGTTTGTAGAGAGTGTCAATAGGCTAATTAAATGAAGCATCTTGAACGCACTTTTAATTATTTATTAATTTTATAAAAAAAAAGATTTTGTTATAATCATCATCATCATTATTATTATTATTGTATTAGGTATCACTTAAGTGTTTGTCAAACTAGTAGGGGTTTAATAGCTGTGCATATCTACCGCGATTTCAGTATCAGCGAATTTCCAGTAACGGCAGCTACCGTGGACTCGCACTATGAATTCTCCGATCGTACAATTTGCCAAATGGACAGTTCCGGCTGTGGCTTTTGTCCTATCCTTCTTCTGGTACAAACGCCGTCGGATAGACCGAGCTGAACTTCAGTGGGATGATACAGGGGGAGACTTACATCACAAAGAAAAAGCAGTTCTGGACGATACGAAGGAGGTTGACATGAGTTGCAACAATTCCGACATTCAGGAAAAGAGTAGCAACCAATCCTTAAATGGCTGCTGCCACATGCCACGGGAAAACTCGTCTCGCGTCCCGAGGAAGGTCAGCGAGAGTGTGGACATCCCGATTAAAAGATCAACGTCGCAATCGTCTTTTTGTAGCGATAGCCAGATGAGATGCATGGAGACTGACACTATGTTCAAGTTGGATGTACAGCTGGGCAGCAATCCGAGCACTAGCTACTTCGAGATGATCGCCAGGAGTCAAAATGTACCTTGCGAGTCCGACAGGACAGTGGTCGACAACACAGAGGAGGTGGTTCAAGTTGTTGATAAAAAGGAGCAGGTCCTGCATTGCGAGACGGAGTCGCAAAAGTATCTCGCGGACGAGTATCATGAAGAGGAACAGCAAGTTGAAGTACATACCATCAAGGCTGAGGGACAAGAGGCTGATGAAAGAGACTCGGCTAATCACAGTCCGGTTTCCGGAGTTCTGGAAGGCAGCATTACTGATGAAGCCAGGAGCGAAGGAAGTAACACGGACAGTGGAAAAGGTGAATTATTAGTCAAAGGTGAATTGTCAATAATTGTCTGCGCGATGGATTTATTTATTTCTATCCGTTTCTTGGAAAGATTTTAGAAATTCGTTTCTATCTGTATATGTAAGTAAAACAAGTAAGATAAAAGTATATATAAGAATTTATTACATAATTCATAATTTATAATATAATTAATATTTTTATTTCTTTGTTTAGGTGGAAGTATCAACGGATGTAGGAAGGATAATACTGTATCATCTATCTATGATTTTGCTATACCACAACATCTGGTCGGTAGATTGATCGGCCGTCACGGTAGCTTCTTGCAAAGTATCCGTACTAAAGCAGACGTCAGCATATACGTGAATGATCACCCCTGCGATGGCGATCATAAAATTTGCTCGATACGAGGAAGTGTTGAGAGAATTAACGTCGCGCTTAAATTAATAAGGCAAAAATTCCCAGAGAAAAAGTTTCCGGAAGTAACATTAGAAGAGATCTCGACGATACCCGAAGTGAACGAGGAGATTCCATGTACCATCCCCTTGATACGCTCCTTGTCCCTGATTGGTAGTGTTAGTAATGACGTCTACGTCTCTCATATCGTCAAACCAAACTGGCTCTTCGTTCAGCTTTCGACTCACCCGTCATTCCACCTTCTAGAAAGTTTGGAAGAGAACATGACGTGTTGGTATAACAGCACTGAATTGCCGTTATCGGATGTATTAAATAGTAAATATATAATATTTTATATTGTGTTTGTATAAATCAAATCATATAAATACTTGAATCGTAAAATGCATTGTTTTGTAGAGGGCGATTACGTGGCTGTACACTGGAATGATAGATGGGTCAGAGGATACATTGAAAAACTAGACCCATCGGGAGAGAAGAATATAGTACGACTAGTCGATCATGGTGGTTACTGGGCGCTTAATAACGCGCAATTTAAGCCGTTGATGATGGACTATCTAAGTTTGCCTTTTCAAGCGATAGAAGTCTTTATAGCGTATATTCAGCCAAAAAATGGTAATTGTATATTGATGCTTATATTAGTTTTTTAGACTAAATTATTTTTTTATATTATATTTGTTCCTGAATATGTATTGTAATAAATTATTTCTATATTCAGGTGAATGGACAACAGAAGCTTACAACTCGGCGTATTTTCTTTGTAAAAGTAATGGGATTGGTCAAGCTGTCATTGAATATCATATTAATGATAATATTTATACTAATATTTATTTTACTGTTCAAAACTATGGAGTAAGTATTTATCATTATTCAAATATTATGATATAAATATTATATTATATAAATCTCTTTACATTTCTAATGCGTGAACTCAAATTAATTATTTTTTTCAGCTAATTTCCCTCGCTGAGGAGTTGTTATTGAAAGGCCATGCAGAACAGGTACCAGGGGAACATACGAAATTAGAAACACTTGAATCCATCTGTACATAGGAGTTGTAAAAAATTCTATCGTTCTCAAATTTCCAACCGAATCATACCGCGTAATTCACAATTCTTAGCCAGTATCGACTAGATAGTTTAGTGTAATCGCCATCGGTAATCCTTTAACTGTGTTAAAATTTATTATTTTCTCCATTGACTTTGGCTAATATTTACTGCGTTAAAGTCGCCGTGAATACCTTGACGTAAATTCTTCCTCTAATAGGTTATTTACATAGAAATATAATAAGCGAAATAGGGCAGCATATAAAATGTCCTAAACTAATGTGAATGAGAGAATTATATTTCATTGTATACAAAAGATTTACAGAAATCTTGGTCGCGTTTAAGCAGAATTTGTAATACTCCTTTAAGCATTGCTCAGAAAGAACGCGTTCTATAAGTATAGTACTCGTTGGTTTAAACGAGTTCTGACAAGTACAAAGGATTTGATTTAATCCGATAATATAAGAATCCTTTTTACTAACTTTTTCAGAATTGCATTGTGTCTAATATTTTTTTTTTGCTTGGAAAACTTGAAACTTTCCATATTAATAATTACAGGACAAATCTTTCATATAGCTTCAAATAAGCACTCAGGAAATTGCTTTTGCCTCCATTGTAAATGTCTCAAGACTGTTGCAAACATAAATGCAATGTTTACCTCTCTTCTAAATCTCTATTATACTTTTTTGTACATAATGTAAAATATTTCTTCAATTATATAAGTAGAATATTTATATTTAGTAAGAGAGAGAAAACCATAAAGAGAATTTTGCTATATAATGTTAATCATAAAATTAATAATGACTGGATTTTATTAAATAGTGTCACATCTTAAAAATCTGTATCAGATAACTCAGACGAATCTGGAAATTCGATTCTACGTGACTCATATTTTTGATTGGAGGCGATTTAGTAATTCATTGAAATGTATCACTAGTTTAATTTCGCGCTAATTTTACATTGTATCAAACTCGTTATCGTAAAAATTATTGTTAAATGTGATATTTCATTTACTCCGCGTATTTTTTTCATATTTAAACATAATTGATTTAATTTTCAAACGTTATTTTTTAATAACGTGTATTTTGCGTAACTTTATTAATTGTAGTATAAAATAATTGTTATTTTACGCTTATACTAATTATTCTCTTAAAATGTATGATTTTTGAGATATATTTTTTGGCATTTGAAGACTAAGTTTTTGGATTAATCCAAACTTATAATATTGTGTAAATTTATTGTTTACTTAAATATTGATAATTCTAATTGTGCGATTTGCTAACGCTTTTTTTCTATGCAAAGTAGTTTCAGTGTAGTAGAATTTATTGAAAAAAAAATCTATTTCTTACGTATGTATTAAGCTCAATTAAAAATGTAATTTGGCAATTATGAAATGTTAATATTGTTGATTGAACATAATATAGAAATATTTTTCTAGGAAGATATATATGTATAAGATTATAATCCATATCGCTCATAATGTATATGCTTTTTCGCGCGCTGCGATTAAAATGTTATAATTTATTATATTTCTTTACATTAAAGTTCGACAATATAGCGACAATAGTGCAACAAATATAATTATATGATAATTCTTAACTATATCTTGTATATATAACATATAGTTGACCGCAACGTTTGACTTAAATTTTGTATAACATTTTATTATATATATTAATCATTATTACACATTAATTTAGTAAATTAAAAGTTCATTTTGTATATACATCAGTATAACTTTTTAAAAGTTATCAAACTCGTGTATTATGTTCACTACAAGTTCTTACATCTTTTATATATCTTTTATAAAATAAAATGTAATAATTATAACAAAAAAGATTATGCTAAGAAAGTTACGGAATTATGCTACAATTTAAATCATTGTTTTGTATTACAAAGCAGAAATAAAGATGTTAGTAAATAGCTAAATTATAGCAATACAAATATTTTCCTTCGAATTTTTTTCTAAGTTTATTGTAAAACAAATGTAATGGAGAATTTCTTTGTATTATAAAATCTATTTTAAGTTTATACACATAGTAAAATTATTTTTTTATACATGTCTGTTTTTTTAATCTTGTTTTCTCAACATTTATCTTTTTATGTAATCACTGTAAATTGAGTTCCTTTTTTTTAATTGTATTATTTTATATTTGTGTGTATATGAATGAAATCTAAAGTGCAAAAGGTGTAGTTGGAAGGAAAGGAATAAATTCTGAACTAGTGCAACTAGTGCAGTTGAAAAGAACAGGTCTCTATTCGCCTTTCTCAAAAGTTATAATTTATTTTAATTATGTATAAAAAAATTGCATTTGCGCTGCTCGTTTATAATATATTTTGAACGTGATGTTGCCAGGTAGCAGGTCACGAGAAGGTCAAAAAGTTCTCTTTCATAAAACAAGTCATTCCTTGGTTTTGCATATGTGTTGACGCATTCCTTGTGGAATTTTGTTTTTTTTCGAAATAACTCTGTTTTTCTTTTTAGCGGAAACGTAGTTTTCGTCAATCGTAATTGATCGAATTTATCGCGATTCGAATATACGTCGAATTTATTTCTTCCAATATGATCTCTCCTGGAAATCGCGAGGAGACCCGGCACTCTCGCGTATTTATGCCGGTTGTTTTAAGTGCCTGCGCGATTCCGATCTCGATGGTCTTCTGGATAGTAAACGTGGCTTATTCAATACTATGGTCGAACAGCAGAAACTTCACGGAAGGTTTTTATCCAATACAAATTTTCAATACATTTGACTAATTATTAGGTTAGAAAATACATGCTCACATATGTTTACATTTATGTGTCTCATATATAAACTTTGTGTACGATGCGATAAATTGTTTCATTAAATTTGTTTTTGCATATAATCTTTTGATATAATTATAATATAATTAAAGAACACACATATACACACAACTGCAAACATGACTTTAGGGCTTTAAGAAAAATGTGACCTTAATACAGGATTGCGTGACAAAGTCAATGCCGTAACTCAAATATGAGATATATTTAATACAGCAAGTTCTTTTGCACTTTGCAGATCTCTTAAAGTGAAACTGATAAAATTATTGGCATAATTGATCTTTAATTCAATAAAATAATTTTAATTTATACACCTCAACTGGCAGATCGATGACTTTCATGAAGCATACTTCAAGAATTTGTACTGCCAAAAAATGACAGAACTATAGGGTTTAGAAAATGGCAAATTAATTTATAAAGTGCATAAATAATAGAGAATAATGGAAAAGTTATTGCATCATAATTATCTGCATATTCAATCTCTAATAATAGTTGTTTTCCATTTACATCAAAACATGGATGTTGAAGAAAGACAGAAGTGAGATTTAGCTGCTAGTTTTGATGTAAAGCAACTTATATACTGATTATGCAGGAGTTAATATATATAGTACAACTGATACTGTGAAATATTTAAGCAATTTTTTATAAAAAATTTTTGTGTATATTTATTTTTTATATTTGTACAATGTTGTAAAGTTGTTCAATGTTCTTAATTTATGAAGATTCTAATTTTTATTGAGATAAAGACTTTATATTAACTTGCAAGTTAACATATATGTTAAATAAAAATTTAATTTTGTTACACTGAAATTCATTTTGATAATAATTTTATTTTTTTGAATGATTTAATATTTCTATTAATAAAAATATTACCTCTGTAAAATATAAAATGTTTATTCTTTTAGTTGTGTTGCATTATGTTCATAAATATAATTGCATTTGAAATAACATTTTTATATATTTCAAAGAATTATATTTCTACTTTTAGAACACTCAGTTATCTCACCGTGGAGATGGCTGGCCGCAGTCGTCATTCCATTATTATTCCTGTCCTGGGGCTTGCGCAAAAAAAGTCTGCACATTAGTGGTGCAATTTTTGGTAATGAAATATCTACATAATTTTGCAATGTAGAAAATGTAGAGATAAAATGCACACACATTAGATAATATAAAGAATAACAATATTTAGATTTCTGTTAAATCAAAAGAAAAGAAGATTGAATTTATATATATAATCAATTGATTATTTATATAATCAAAATAAATAACACCAATAAAAACATCTTTCTTTATTGAATTATATTGCATATAATTGTAGATTGCCACAAGATAGTAAAAGATGGTTAATTAATCTGATTTTTATCTTTCAGGTTTTTTCGTGGGCTTTATCTTGACACTTTCAAATTTTGCTCACTTGTCAGCTCTTGTGACATTCTTTATCACTGGTTCAAAAGTGACGAAGTTTCGATCTAAACAAAAGCAAAAACTTGAAGCTGATTTCAAGGAAGGTGGCCAACGGACCTGGATACAGGTGCTGTGTAACAGCGGCATGGCTACACAATTGGCTTTATTGTACCTTTTGGATGTCGGAAGCGGAGAAAGACCGATCGACTTCGACAAGGAATATCGAAGCTCGTGGTTGTCCATTGGAATACTAGGTAATAAATCAATATTTTAATTTTGCCAATATAATAGTAAAACTATAATATTTCAATTTTAAAAAGCGAGATTAAATCTTTAATTTGCAAATTTTTAACTCTTAACTATTTTTCAATTCATTTATTTTTTAGGAGCATTTGCATGTTGCAATGGTGATACATGGGCTTCAGAATTGGGTACAGTCATTGGCACAAATGATCCTTTTCTTATTACAACATGGAAAAGAGTACCAAGAGGTAAGAATATTAATTTTGTAGGATAAGCAGACAAATTTCACGTTAATAAAATTTTTTTATGTTTGCAATTTGTAGTAGAGATTTTTTTTTTATATAACAAGAGATTGTTAAAAATATAATCAGTCTGGAATATTTGCATTTTATTATTCAAGGAACGAATGGCGGTATATCGTGGATAGGTCTGTTATGTTCCACCCTTGGTGGTTTGATAGTTGGGCTTATCTATTATATTGTGATAACATATACTGTTGATACGGCTGTATTGCAACTAGCAGCACCACAGTGGCCTATGATAGTTGTCGCAGGATTTGGAGGCCTCTTTGGCTCCCTTTTAGATTCCTTCCTTGGTGCGACTTTACAGTATTCAGGTAATAAAGATTTTTAGATTTTGTATATTTTTTTTTAGTACTTTAAATTCTGAATTCTTCAATATAGTTCTTATTTATAGTAGCATAGATTATCACGATAATATATAATCGACATTTTAGGAATTGATGAGAAAGGTTTTATAATGGAGCGGCCGGGAAAAGGTGTAAAACATATTTGTGGTAAACAGATCCTAGATAATCACAGTGTTAATCTCCTTTCTAGTATTGGTGTTGCCCTCTTTCTTCCAAGATTTGCCAATCTTTTTTGGCCATAAAATTTTAGATTGATTAAAAATATAATATCTATTATCGAATTCATTAATTTTATTTTTATCTATATAAAGAAAAATCCCGCACGGTTTTGTATATCTTCTATATTTTTCTATCCTGCTTTACTTTATTGTTAGAGATGAAAGCGATACTTTAAAAATGAATAAAAAATCTAAGATTATATTTTACTAATTTTTAATATAAATATCAACTAAAAATAATATTTTAATATTGGTTATTATATTAGTAATTCGAGATTTCATAAATTAAATGATTAATTGGGTTTTTATTTATTTTATTAATAAATATATTATATATAAATATTCCATTATATATTATAATATATAGCTTATAATATTTTGCTACATTTTATAATATTCTATTATCTATCATTTAACGAAACATGGGTTGTAAAAAAATACTTTACAAAAGGCTTATATTTTTATTATATAATTTACATGCAATGTTCGTAGGGCATTACTATTTGCTGCAGCTAAAAGTATTTCTTAGATGAAAGATATTATTAGAACGAATTATTATATATGTATAAGATTATCTTACGACAATGTTTTTTTACATCTATAACATGATGTATATGAGAATGATGTAACATATATTATTTTTATACCACAAAACAATTCAAAAACTAAATTTAGTATTCTATATATTTATATCTTCAAATGTAAAATATCAAGATGTATGTATATTATAACACATAGAAAATCATATTTTTTTCTAGAATATTTTTGACAAAATTATAAATGGTTGTGATTACAATGAAATTAATTTCATCTTTATAATTTAGAATTAAATAAAATCTTTTTAGAGAAAGAGAAATACACAAAGACTTGTGTATTTTTGATGCAATAAAAATTTATCTTTAAATATAACAAAATTAATTTAATTATAACTTTTATTAAACCTCCTACTCTTTACTCATATTCTTGAAAATTAATAGCTAAATTTATTTTCAAACTATTATTCGGTTGAAATGCAATATAGTTTTCAAAGTACAATATCAGAGTACAATATCAAAATATAATATCGAGATAAATAATATAAATCAGTTATAAAAAAAATGTTTTATATATATGCGCACACAACACATTTAAATATAGTTACATGATTTTTCTCTTATTCATATAAAATAAAAGATAAAAATATATAAAATTTTACACTGTATATTACAGAATTTTAACTTGATCAGATAAATCAGTATCTGCAAAGTAGATAAAATCATTTTCAAAAAATCATTTTTGTCAAACTATATATATACAGTATCACATAGGTATAATGTAAGATCTATGTAGATATGCCAATTTAAAATTTTTTCGATACGCAAAAATTAGTTTACATATCAATTAAACAATATCCTATAAATGGAAAACATTATGTATATATTATTTCTAATTTTAAGTTTATATCAGTTATAAGATAAAAGATTTATAAAAAAATGTTCACCTTACATGATTTAAGCGAAAATAGATTGATTAATTATCTATCTATGCTTGTCCTTACGTTTGTGTCACAATGTAATATTACAGAATATTAAAATATATCTAAAGAAATCGACAAAATCACAGCAATATTCAACACATAGAATACGCTTTTGCGTTATTCTCGAATCAACATT